AGGTGAACACCTTCTCAAACCCAGACGTTCAAATCGCCCCGACCGTAGCTTGCTCCTTGACCCAAATTAATCAACACAATCCGAACCCATCCATTTAAAATCTGCCTTCTGCCTGCACAGTGTCACGTCTTTTCAAACGAGAACTTATTTTAGAAAGGCCTGGACTGGCTGTAAATAGAAACACTGGCACTAGCATGCTGCTCGGAGACAAAAAAAAACTCCAGCTGGCTAAACTCAAAGTCTCAAGCAGGTAGCGCAACACAAAAAACCATTAGATATGCTTTACGGGGCTTTCTGAGGAAAGCTGCTTTATACTATGGGCCTGTCTGTCAGGCACTTCGGCTGGCCGGGGAGATGCCCGAAGGGAACATGTGCATTATCTATTAGTTTAAGCCCCGTGTCTGTAGGGGAAAGCCCTCCATCTGTGGCTAACCTCAGCAGGCACAGGCCTGGATGGTATCCACCCTCTTTCTGGCAAGAGAGACGACTTACTGGAGAGACGCAGCACGCAAGGAGCAGCACTGGGGCTGGTGGCATTTTCTTTTGTAAGAAGAGCCCTTTACCTTGCAGAGGGGATTACTGGGAAGGTTTCACATCCTTTGACACGTTCTAAATATGAAACGTCAGTCAGTATAAAATACTTTATTCTTCCATAATGGGCAGAAATTTTTTCAGTAAGGCCATTTTCTGTGTCTGCCTAAGAATGGAAACTGTGTTGAAATCATTGGGAACTGAATACTGTTTAAATACTATGTGAAACCGGTGCTGTTTATAATAACTAAAGCAAAAACTTTATATATATAATATATATATATAAAAACTGTATATATTTTTGGCAACTTACTAAAATAAATACATTTAAAGGGTTAGTTCACCCAAAAATGAAAATTATTCTGCGTTTTACTCACCCTCGAGGCATCCTAGGTGTATATGACTTTCTTCTTTCAGACGAATCCAGTAGGAGTTATATTAAAAATTGCCTTTGATCTTTCAAGCTGTTTAATGCCACTCAACGGGTGTTGCATGCATTCAGTCGAAAAGAACTTAAATAAAAATCGCCCATCCATAAAAAAAAAGTGTCTCACACGGCTCTGGGGGGTGAACAAAGGCCTTCTGTAGCGAATCGATGCGTTTTTGTAAGAAAAATATCCATATTCAAAACGTAATAATCACTTGAATCTAGCTTGCGCTCACTGTTGTAAACAGAAGCAGTTCTGGGGGAATGACGTATGAGGTCGGAAACGCACGTTGAAGTGACACACATGGAAACGCAGGGGAGAGATCAACAACGGTCAAGAATTAGAAGTACAAAACGAGGATTTGTAAAGAAGAATGTCGGAGGATTTAGGATTTGGAAATAAATTGCATGTTTATTTTAGATCTAAATAGTGTTCTGTGCTTGTCTTTGCAGACAAAGGCAGAACAGGTAGTATGTTTTGCTCAAACTTTCACCATGGCTTTAGAACTGGTACACCGTTGTCGCTTGCGAAATCAAAATGATGGCGCCATGGGTGGAAATTTACAGATTAAGGGGCGGTAATATTATAATGAGATCCCTTTGCAACGTCACCAAGAGAGCGAAATCAGACGTGATCGTTTTCTCAGACGCTTGCAGAAAAATGCTTACCAAAACAAAGTTACTGGGTTAATCTTTTTCACGTTTCCTTGGTTGATAGATGCACCGGGGACCTGATTATAGAACTTAAAACCTGGAAAAGTCAGATTTCCATGATATGTCACCTTTAAGATTAAAATAACTGTTTTCTACTTTAATAAAATGTAATTTATTCCTGTGATGCAAAGCTGAATTTTCAGCATCATTACTCCGGGCTTCAGTGTCACATGATCCTTCAGAAATCATCCTAATATGCTGATTTGGGGTTTAAGAATAATTTTGTGATTCTTTAATGAATACAAAGTTGAAAGTAACTGTATTGATTTGATAAAGAAATCATTTGTGACATTATAAATGAATTTACTGTCACTTTTGATCAATTTAATGCATCCTTGCTGTGTACAAAATATTCATTCCTTTAAAAAAAACAAAAAAAATCCACAAATCTTTGAATGGTAGTAAAAAAAAAAACTAAACTTTATGTATTATACCATTATTCGACCATCATGCTCAGATTGGAATAATATAGTACATGTACATTATTTTCTCAAAATGACATGAGAATGAATCAATATTTTTTTTGAAGTACTAAAAATAAATAAAAAATATATAAAAAAAAAAAACCACATAACAAAATTACAATGAAACCTGAAAATGTAAAAAATAAGAGATAATTCAAAATATTAATTAATATTATAATAGTACATAAACAATATTAAAATTACAAAAAATAGCATAACAAATACACCTTTCAAAATATACTATGCTTGTTGTCAAAACTGCTACTTGTTGAAGTTTTTGTTACCAGTAAAGTTTTAACACTGGTGAATGTAATTTCAGGTATGTAATGTGTTTTTAATTTCGGGTATGTAAACTATTTTTAACATTTGTAACATATTTTTTGATTCTTTACTTGATAAGACATGAATTGTCGCACACAATTCAAATGAAAATTCTTTATTTTTATTTCTAAAATGCTAACTGGTCTCTTTTTGATCAATTAAAAACATATGTTCATGTTTCCAAAAGTAAGTAAAGTAAAATGGCCACAAATAAATTTTTGACTTTGATACATGTTATATTCTATAACTGGAACATTTACAACCCAACTGCAATGCAAGGACCTAAAACATTTTTAAATTATACAAATAGTGCAATTAACTTTAGCAGCCCTGAAATACTAAAATGAAATAAACTGAAACTAAACTCTGGGGAAAAACTAAAACCAAACAAATACTAACAACAATAGAATAAAAACTATTAAAATCCATGCCAAATTGATAAATTGGAGGAAATTGAAAAATACAAACGAACATACAATATATACTGCAGCAAAAGCAAGAGCAGTGTGGTAGAATGCAATCGCAAACACAGCCATTGAGAATGTTTTTGCACACACACCCACATACTCACACACACCTATCAGCATTGATATACAACAGCAGTGCATTAGTACGAGCTCATATGAGCAGAAATGCTTGGAAGTTTGTCCTAACAACAGGAAGCAGCATGTGTTTGCGTGGTTGCCGTGCCACCCCCACATTCCTGTATTAAATCACCGTAATAAAAGCCATCCTTGACATGCATGCCAACACGTCACAAACATAACAACTGGCCTGGAAACAGACATCAGTGCTGGACTGACACGAACCAAGGTTTCCATAACAGGCCCCAAAACAGTCCGATGGCATACAGAGTGTGTCTGGGTTAATGGCTCCCAAGGCAGGTGCTCAAAAGAAAACAGTCAGGCAGAGCTTTATAATGCCTATAAACTTCAAGTTTGCCTGGACTTTCCTGTTACAGAGGGTTTACCGAGACGGCCTGGCCCGAATTCCCCTTAAGCCGAGAGGCTGATCTGAAAGTCTTAACTGATCGTACCGAGAGGAAATAGCCCAACAGCAGAGTCCCAAAGAACCACCGCTAACACAGCGCCTGTCACTGAAGGTTCTATTATATCTGCGATTTTTGAACAAATCAAAATCTACATTATCGACAGGTCTTGTGCTCCCATATTTAATAACTCTTTCACTATTTCAAAAAGGATAGTTCTGGTCCTGGATTCTGATTGGTCAATAAAGCTAAAAGCAAAAATACTGCTTAATATAAAAATATATTAAATCCATTATTGTTGATGTTTTTGAAAAAGTATCTTATGCTCACCAAGACTGCATTTATTTGATCCAAAATACAGTACAAATTTTAATATTGTGGAATATTATTACAATTTAAAATAGCAGTTTTTTTTATTTGAATAGTTTCAAATGTAATTTGAATGTAACACTTAAATGTGAAACTTACTATTTTTTGTGAAAACTGTGATGCATTTAATTCAGGATTCTTGATAATCTGAAATGTAATCTTTTGAAACAGTATAAATGTTTAATGTTTAATTTAATGCATCTTTCTGACCCCAAACATTTGAGCGATAGTGTATAATTTTTTTTATATAGATATACAATAGACTTTAATAAATTGCATCAAAAAAAAGTTGATTCTAACCTGGCCAATGAAAAAGTTGCATTAAAATCAAATTTTAAATAATTATTCTTCGTATTGAAAACTTCATCATCAGAATTTGTTAAACATGACAATTAAGTTTATATCATATAAAATGTTACTTACAGCACAAAACACAAATAAAAATAAAAAGTAGCACTGATTTCTCACTATTCTTCCAACCGTTTTCCTCTCAGTGGAGCACAGAAACTCACAGACAGACATTATAAATGACTGACAAATTAATTGCTGACTCATTCAATCATACGCCAAGTTCACTTTTCTACAAAAAACTCATGCAATGCTAAAAACAAATTTATAGATCTGATCCAAAACCTAGTGAGCTACCTACCTAGACAGCATCATAGGTGCGTTTTCGACATACTGATTGTTCCAAAGCATAATTAGGAATAATTAATATCAAGCATAATTATATATCATAATAAAAGTAATTCAATTCATACCTTTCATTCAACACTGAATAATATTGATAAAGAAATGTTAAACCTAATTAAAAATGTCTTATTTTACCCAATGCTAGTAGACAGCAAGGCAGCTCACCTGGTTTTAGAACAGAGCCTATTAGATAGTATTAAATTCAAGAAGCTAATGAACCATGATCATTTCTCAGAGCAGCAGTTGTATGATGTGCAATTAAATCACCACAAAAGGAAGTGGCAAGTGTGACTCGGGTTTAATTAAAGGGGTCATATGATGCTGCTAAAAAGAACATTATTTGGTGTAATGAAATGTGTTTATGCGGTTTAAGGTTCAAAAAACACATTATTTTCCACATACTGTACATTATTGTTTAGGAAAAATTGAAATCGCATCATATGACCCCTTTAATAAAAAAATTTTCAACAGCATGTGATGCTGTGTTTCTGACCTGGTCATCATAGCGGTAGGTGAGATACTGCTCTCCTGTTGTGTCTTCCAGAAAGCTTCCTTGTGGAGAAAGTGCAAATTCAGGGAGGAAGTAAGCACTCTGCGTCTGGCTCGCTACTCCCTGTAAAACAAGACCACAACAACCACATTAAACTTATCAAAGTACTGCAGACATCATTTAGGGGCCTGCAGCTAACATTTTTGAGAAAGCATAATGTACTGTAAGTACACAAAAGATGTTATCAAACGTTATCAGTGTTCAACTACTGCACATAAAGATCAAGCTGAAATGTGTGTTAATTGAGGTAGAAAGGTTTACTGAGAATACACAATTAAATTATTCTGGTTCTAGTTGATAATAGATAAAGACTGTCAATGACCTTTTGAATGTTAACTAGGTTACTTCACTGGACGCGTATGACTTTTTTTCTTCTATTGAACACAATAATAGACATTTTGAAATATGCTGGTAACCAACCGGTTTCTGTTTCTGTATGGACAAAAAAAATACAATGGAAGTCAATGTGAACCAAAACTGTTTGTTTACCAACACTCTTCAAAACATCTTCATGTTACACAGAAAAAAAAAAAACAAGTCATACAGGTTTGGAATGATATGAGGGTGAGTAAATTATGACCATTTTAATTTGAACTATCTCTTCACGCATTAATATGACCTAATTAATATTCATGAGCTAAGCCTATTTGTACATTTTGTTCCAAATTTCCATATATATATATATATATATATTATATATATTATTATATATATATACTAAAAAAATAGTGGGAAAAAACATTTCACTCATAAACTGCTAGTAAATTTCACAAACAATTAGAAAGAATACTAAAAAAATAGTGGGAAAAAACATTTCACTCATAAACTGCTAGTAAATTTCACAAACAATTAGAAAGAAACAGTAAGTAACACATTACATTAAATATTATTTTAAAGTAGCTAGACAAATTTTGAAGTAGAAAGACATAAGTAGTATTTTCTCTTATACATACTCCAATGCTCTTTGTTTTATTTAGAACTTCAAATAAAATTCAGTGTATTTCTATCAGCCACTCACAAAATAAACTCAGAAAACTCATATAGACTGACATAAAATAACCATCCTGACTCATAAAATTAACCTCGAAAGCTGCCAGCTGCTATCCATCTCTGACATCCCCAAAACTGATAGGAGATAAAAGACTACAGCATGGACAAATAAAAGAAAATTTAACTGTTAGTGTGTCAAAAGTTCATTGTGAGACAGTAAGAAGCCCACAGAAGAGAAAGCAGCTCCGGTTTGTTAGAGCTGAAATTCCCATCGCCTTAGACGTTTATTGAGGAAGATTAGCTGCAGCACATGAACCAAATCCTGAATCGTTCAGACCAATTTGAAGTAGGCTACCATGTGTTTACCGTGCTAATGCTAGGCTGACGGCTTTCTCAGAATGGCCTGGTGACACACTTATAAACAATTTATGGAAGTTAAGGAGGTTATAAAATCACAGCAAGCTCCTGAAAAGCTTTTTTCCCTTCCTGCTCATTAAAAGGGGAACTATTTACACGTGCTTGAAGCTTCAAAACAAAATGTACCAGGTATCAAAAGTTAATCTAATTTTGTACCTGAGCCCAGGGAGTGTCTCCTAGGGCGAGTGTGTGAGGCCGACTACTTCTCCAAGCACTTACGCCCTAAAGAGCAGCAGAGTTTGGCACATGGTCAGAGGAGCCGCTTTCATCAGCGACACAGACTTTCACTGACAAGCCTGAATTACAGTCCTGCTATCCATGTGTGTGTGGAAGGGCTGGACAAAATTCAGAAGAATTTTAAGAACTGGCTCCAAATTCAGAGTCACAACACAGAGAAAGTTTATTAGTTCAACATAAGTTTTGCAACCATAAATTATTTAATTAATTTTGAATATTTATGTTTATTTTTTCCTCATATGTAGAATGCAGTAGCTGAAAACATATATTTCTGAACTGAACAACACTGTCAAAACAATTTAAACACAGCCATCAACTACAGCACCACTATTTTTCCCTCAAACAACTCTATAGAAATAAACATTGACAACAAACTTAAAATGTTTTTAATAAATAATGTTGAGAAAACTAATGAAGTACTGCATTATTTAATATCTACCTATCTATCTATCTATCTATATACATATAAAATAATACAATTTGAGTTTTATCACGTTTGCACTACTGTGAGCAGTGGTGGCTCGTCGGGGGAGGCACAGCTTCCCCAAAATTTTGAGGTGAAAATGGGAGGAGGACGATTTAATGTTAATAAAATTCACAATTCATTTCAATTCATGTCTCAGAATGTGTATTTTTTGTTTGTATTTTCACAGCTGTAATACCATAACATGTTAATGAAGTTGGAAAGCGCCGCTTTTATATCGCGAATGTGCCGAATCTGCTGATGTAATTACAACCGCTAGATGATAGAGAAGGGGAGGGGGA